TTTATAAATATTTGGCGCTTTTAGAATATTTTATATCACATTTTTTTCTCCCTTATATATATATATATATATATATATATATATATATTATATAATATATAATATAATATAATATATATATATATATTTTTTTTTAATCTTTTTGTAACAATAAAAATAATATCAAAAATGTTTACATATGAAATTTTTCATAAAGTTTTTCTGCTTTTCTATCAAAAATGCATACTGATCAAGAATATTTTAATCGCTGTATTATTCTCTTAATCACCGCATTATGTTTGAAAAATATATACATTTTGTTTTTAATTATCAATTTTTCACTAGAGAAAATTATGGACAAGAGTCATCATATATTTTTTTTCATTTTCGATATTATCTTTATAATTAAAGTTAAATTTAATTTAAATTACTATTAAAGTTTACTTAAAATTAATAGAAGAGAATGTAATTATGCAAACAAATATATTATTTTACCGTGATATTTTTCTGAAAAAAATTGATTGAAATATCAAAAATATTAAATGTCTTAAAAAATTCACAATCATATCTTTACACATTCCTTCCATAATAAATTTATAACCGATTTTGTTTAATATGATATTTTAATATGATATTTTATTGTAATTAAAAATTAATTAAACATATATTGACTATTATCTAGATTCCGTATTCCGTACATTATATAAACATTGTATGTATGTATAATGTATATATAATCGTTAATTTGTTTTCTCCTAAATATGTATCATATGCTTCTTTAAAGATTGAATTACGTCAATTTGAAGATATATTTGATGTCAGCAAAGTGTAATAATAGTGCGCGCGCGCACGTGTTTAATGATATCATTTGGATAATAGTTCGATTAAACATATGTATCGTTAGGGGCAACAACGTTGAACCGACCTTGTGATCGACATCACGCATTACGGCAATATCTCGTCTTTATTTTGAAGGGAATTAAAAAAAACTTTTCGAACTCGATCGAAGTTCGTTTGCGAAGAAAGGAGAACTGCGTATATAATGCGGAATTTTACTTTGCGAATCATTTTTCACTGGAGGGACTTCGAGTTTCATATTTCAAATATTATCACTGCTGATATACAATGTAGAGACTTCAAGTTTCATATTTCAAATATTATCGCTACTGACATATGCAGTTTTATCACATCAGAATTACCTTGAATGTTCTTTTTATATCATTAATAAATCCACATTTTTTCGATATTATTCGAATTCTGTTTTATTTATTTCAAAATTCTGTTTTACTTTAAAATTAGAATTATGAATAATCTTTAGCGATTTTTTTTTCCGCACAGCATTTTATTTGATTCTATTATGAAGTTTTATTTTAATTAATATGTTTTAATAATATATTTCCCATATCAACATAATTCAATATTATCAAATAAGTTATTTTAATATTATTGAAAAGAATATTAAAGTATATTTATTCTCCTTCTATATATTATTACAATTATTCATCTATTGATTTATTGATCTATTGAATCTAACATTATTCATCTATTTATCTCTGTCTTGTCTAGATAAATTTTCTTTTTGTACGGTAATTAGAAAATTTTATATTTAATAGTTGTAAAATTTTTTTGGGCGATTTATATTATTACTTATATTCTTCTTATTAGTGTTGCTTATTATATTGAACTTATCGTATACTGACATTAAGCTTATCATATACTGATAATCTTAGATACATATAATTATTATGTCTCAGTTGCACAGCAGGAGAATTTTTTATCTATAGGGATATATAAACTTTTTTCTTAGAATCGAATCATTTGATTTTGGTCCATATATATTTCTGTTGGATTTGTCGATATAATGCAAAAAAGTGATATAATTGAATGACATTAAACGCATAACTGCTGATATGCGTTGAGCCATTGAACTTTTGTAATTCGCTTTACAACTTATCTTCGGTTTTTACTATCTTTGCAAAATGCAGATCAATCAACTCTTTTCGAGTCTGGAGAAGAATAATTTCCTGCTATTTATATTGTTGTAATGATTTCTCTGTATTCTTATCAAAGAAACGTAGTAAAATTTAAATAACTATTTTTATTAGAGAATACACGTAGAATCTTAAATTTATAAGAAATATTGTTAATAATAAAAAATATATTTTAAAGCGACGATAAAGTAAAACGATAAGTAAGACGATAATAAAAATTATAATATACTAAAAAATAAGTTAATAAAAATTTAGATACCATAATTGAAGAAATGTTGCAATATCTATGTAATCTATAAAAATTGGAAACAATTAGTTATCTGCTACTGTAATTTATACCCGCAATGCGTATATATTTTGCATGTATATAAATACACCTATACATCAATTTTCTTAACAGAATTATTTACTGGTTACCAGTAGTAACTCCGCAGCATAGAAGAATTTCGAATCATGATCGATATCTCTCAATGTTGTTGTGTAATTCCACATGTCGAAAAAAATGTATATTATTAAGATATTAATGACGCACAACACTTTATCTTATTTATTTTTTTAGTCCACTAAAAATTCGACTGCATAAATATTTATGAACATATTGCTCGGTCGATATGGCTTCTATAAATATCCTTGTGAAAGATATAAATATTGCTTCCTTTTTATTTAATTTTCGTAATGATCAGAAAATTTATTAAACAGTTACATAAATCGACGTAATTAAACACAATATCAATTATTATTTGATCTGCTAATACCAATTAAAACAAATCAGTAATGTTATATCATATCAATATATGTTACTCTTTCTCTCTCTTGATATTAGATTTTGATTATTGACATTAGATATTGTTCGTGTAAATTGAATCCAAATTAATTTTATAAAAATATCACAGATAAGAAAGAATAAATTACTAAAATATCGTGATATTCGGAAAAATACTACATTAATAAATCAAGTCTGATCTATATCTGAATGATTTTGTTACATAAGAAATAAAAGAAGTGTTCGAAAATTCGTTAAATATCTAATTCATATTGGAATGAAAAAGTAATAGTAATTATCTTGAAGATTATGAAACATTTACTCTGATAAAATTTTGATTTACATTCATTTGAAAAAAAATATAAAAATATATCTAAAATCAAAACATATATAAAACAGCGAATATCGTAAAGCTCAAGAATAAAATTTTTTTTGTAAAATTCCTCTGAGATATGTGTATGATTACAATACTATCTTTTACATGCCGTTTATTTATGCATGCATCGATAAAATGTCGTTCCACTTCATCATCAGGTCAATGATGTGTTATTTGAAATTGCATTGCTTTTATTCGTAATTACATAGTCGTCGTTTTAATTATCGATAATACATGTATCAATTCAACGACACGCATCTTTTTTTCATGCAAAGGTGAATGCAGAATACAATTCGATTCATTTTATACAACGAATTTATTTCTATATATGTCACAGATGGTGTGTATTCTGTCCACTAACTCTACAAAATGCTCCTTCAGTATTTGTCTGTTGCTAAATACACTACTTTAATTTCTTTTTTTTTTGCATTACAACTGGCACTTCTGAAGTATTGTTGATCACTAGTCCCGATTACTAGGGCTTTGGTGTGTCTTGGCGCTTTAGAAAAATACTCAATTTTTGATTCTCTAAGATCTAAAATGCAAGTATGATGACGATTGAGCCGCAAGCATTAGATCACCTCGGATACTCTCCTTTTATCAAAAATTGATTATTTTTGTATACATACATACATATACATATGTATATATATATATATAATTACTATTTATTGTTGCCTATTTCTAGAAGTATATATATAACATATGTCGGCAAGCATCCAGAAAAACGTAATCACAAAATACACGCTTATATCTCTATGAGCTAATGATGTTGCATTAATGTGATTACATGTGGTATTTTTTTCTTCACTTTGTGATATATAGTATACTACTTATTATTGTTTGTATGTGTATGTATACTCTGACTGTTATATGTGTATACTCTCTATTTATGCCTTCTGCGGTGTTTAGCACATGTGCGAATGTATACATTATACGGAAGCACGGGCTATTATCTACGTTACATGAACTATTAATTAACTAACTTAATTATGTCTTCCTAAAAAACTACTCAGACTTCTGTTTAACATTTATCTTATATATTTTGCTTATAAGAATAACGTCGTATTTGTAATATCGACTACGGCGTCTACGTCTTGCTTATCGATAATTAATACTGCGACGACTAGATTTATTTCATGTGACTGAAACATTCGGTCTTGTTCGTTCTTAAAATTACTATCTAATTTGACACATAATTTTCATATACAGTCTTAATATTTATGATGATGTTCGTATTGTGCTAAAAATATGTCACAGACTACAAAACTTTTTTTCTTTTCACAAATTTTCTTCTTTTGTCTTTTTGGTCGACATATAAAATCCCGTATAAAGTTCCCTGTGAAATTCTCGACTGCTGTGAATAAAATAACTATGTCTTTCTTTAGAATTTTCATTGTTTGAATAATGCTTCAATCATGTATAATCTAGCTAATAGAATAATATTTCTATTATATATCAGCTGGAGTAAGTTGTAAATTTCATAACCAGTATAAAACGATCAGTACCAATACAATTATCACAGAGTCGTTAAGATGTCACATATACAAGCGTAGAGTAAAAAAATTAGTTTTATACTCTTGCCATATATATATATATATATATATATATATATATATATATATATAAATTAATTTTTATAGAAATAAATTATAATTCATAACTTTTATTATCTATGCCAATATTATTTTAAAACAGTATTAAAAAATATTAAAAATAAAATATGCATAAAATGGCAGTGTAAAGATATTTTTATCACAAAAATAAAATATGCTAATGTTAATTTCTAATAACAAAATAACATCTGTCAACTTTAAATAATACTTACATTTCTAAAAATATTTAACAATTATTATTTTTCCATTATTAAAATAATATGCATATACTTGCAATAAATATGTATATAATTGCTTCGAAAATAAGACTAGAAGTATCAATATTTAAATCTGGCTATGAAATTTCAAACTTATTTTCTCTATAGTAAAGTACTTCATCGCTAGATTTACTAACAACGATGGAAGTTTACCAATATCTCATATTAACAAACATCCTTATCAGACAATAGAAAGACATATTCATTAAATAACTAACAAAGTATATAATACCAACAACAACATACTTAATGCTAAATGTATATAAATAAGTTAAAAACAATAAAGCATACAAAATTTCTCGTTTTCATACATTAGCACCGTTACTCTCTGGAAATGAAGTTTACGACAGATACTGATATATGATCAATATACGATCATCACTCGACAGAATATTTATCTGAGATTCTAAGACCAGTCCTCGTACTGACTACCCATGGTTCATCTCATTAAATCCGCCGCTCTTTGTCGATCCCGATGAACCTCCCGAGGATGCATTCTTTTACGATGTGAAAAACAGTTGCCCGAGCTCGCGAAAGCTTTCGGACAGTAAGGACACTGATAAGGCCTCGCACCCGTATGCTGATTTATGTGGAATTTTAGATCCTGATTTCGTTTGAACGTTTTATCACAAAGTGGGCATGCATGCGGTCTTAAATCCGAATGCGTTATGCTATGGGCACGTAACGTCGAATTCGTCGGATACACTCTCCCACATACATTACATGGAAACTGTATGCCGCCATGATATTCCTTGTGTCTGAATAGGTTCGATTGTGTTTTAAAACTGTAAGAAATTAAATTATCTTTAATGATACTTATGGAAATCTTTTGATCAATGCATTAACAGATTAGCAGAATGATTAGCATGTATAAAAATAAAAGTTAAAATATTAATAATATTAATACTAAATACATAATAATATTAAATATGATAAAGTATAAATATATAAAATAATTTAATTATTATATAAGAATTTAATTACAACTTTAATATTTTATAATATATTTTAATTAAATTCTTATAAAATAATTATTACGATTACTATTACAACATAATACAAACGCACATTCTTCCACATATATCACATCCATATTTCCCCTTAGGCCTGTGCGTCTCTAAATGCACCTTTAAATTTCCCTTTGTAGAAATCTTTTTACTGCAGATTGGACAGATGAAATTGCTGGACGAATTGTTATCACTATTTGTGTGAAGTACACCATTTGTGGAATAAACATGTTGAGATCGTAAAATAGGCTTTCCATCGAATCTTCTTTCTTTGGGTAAGTGTGACCATAAGTGATTTTGCAAACCGATTTGCGATATAAAAGATCGAGCACATATTGTACATTCGTATGGTTTGGTTGATGCGATAGATGTAATTTTTTCATTGTCCTCATGCAATTTAGATTCGCTTTCATCCTTTTTCTCTTCGTCTTCTTCTTCTGCTTCAATATTTCTAAAATAGATAAAAAGCTTAAATAAGTTGATTTGTTAATTTTTTCAAACAACACTTTATATAATATAATCTTTATTATTAGTAATAAAAACATTTCTACTTGTTTGTTAAAGGTAGTGGCTCAGGTGAATGTGTTCCTGTTATTTCTTCCTCATTGTCTGAGGAATCGGAAGCTTCCGATGCAGATTGTTCCATACCACATTGTAAAAATAACATTGGATCCACTTTTACTTCCATTTCCTCCATACTTGGAGTATGACGTTTGTCCTCTTGGGAATTTAACTCTGATGGTCCCAGTGGTTCGTCTTCAGTTAAAATTTCTATCACACCCTGCAAAATATGGTAATAATAAATTATTATACATAAATATCTGTGATGTAGAAATAAAACTACCATTTATACACATACTTTTGTCAATATTGAATGTAATAATCCTCGATCTTCCGTCTTCTTTGCAATATCTTTAATATCCTGTACATCATCATCTTGTACAGAATTTGTATTGTCAATGTTATTATAGAGCTGTGATCTCAATTTTTCTTGGGTACGGTATGCCATCATTGCAAAGCGATGAACACCCTCCAGTCTCTTAATGCATATAGAACAGACCATTTTTGAAAATTTGTCTTCCAATGATACCTAGAAAGAATATTTATAAAAATAAGTTTATAATTCTAAAACATACTCTATATATGTATATCTTTAAAATATAACATGGGATCACTATTGAAAAATTATTTATATTTGCATATTTTATGACCTAAATTTATTTTTCTGCAAATGTTACGTATTAGTTTATTATTATCATCATTATTTTTTACTTTTTGTTATTCTTTTTTATTGTTTCTCATTTGCACATTGCATTGTAATTTTTTTTATCTCATCTTATACAATTAACCTAGCTTTCGGCTCGATACAAGCGCTAATAATTTCGATTCGAGTAGAATGGATGTACCGCTTATTTCAAGAAAAAGCTGCTGTATTTTTTACACAATACAATTTGATTGGCATTTTTTCCGTAATTTATTCCGCCCGACGTCGCTTCCCCGACGCGCGGCCCTCATTTCCGATTATATTTATAGATGTAGTACTTATATAGCGCACACATATACAGAACACGGTATACTTATTGCAATCAATAAAATGCTAATTTTTAACACTTTTGTAGCCCCGCACAAAATGGTCGCGCTCGACAGACGTATTTGGCGTGTATGATCACCTTTGTTTATCGCGTTATTCCACATATGATAAACTCGTTGACATTTCATTAAGACCGAGGACCGGTAATAATTATAATTTTCCGCCGCAGATTTTCGCGAAACGTAATGACTCGTTACTGCGCACTTTAAGCATCTAAACTCCGAAAATGTCGTCGTTATTTTTAGACGAACGAGTCGATTTATTCGCGATTCGGGAAATATCATAAATCGCAAAAAGAAGGAAATTAATGAGATTAAGAATTATACCTTTATCTCGAATTTATCGCAAACGTTCGCAATCGTAATCGCATCCGAGGAATTATCGCGAAAGGAAATAATTTATCGCGCGATCGTCAAAGATCGGCACGACGATCTTCCGCATCAATATCGCGCGATCATGAAATAATCATGAATACACCATTGTTGCGTATTGATCGACCGATCATCGTCTGATCCTCGATATCGCCCGAAATCGCCGCTTCCGCAATCGGCGCGAGACGAGTTTCGAAAATCGAGATTCGGCTGAAATTTATCGCGACCGGCACGTGATTGCGAGAGAGAAACATACATACGTACACACTCTCACAGAGATATACGCACGCCGCATGGGGGAGGCGAATTTTGAAAAAAAAAAAGAAAAAAAAGAGAAAAGAGGGGAGAATCGAAAAAAATGCGCGCCGCGCGAGAGACGCGCTCGTGACTTACCAGGATATGCAGATATTTCCGTATCTTGGTCTGCAGATAATGACGACGGCCGTCCTCGGCGAAGATGTGCATCCCGTCGTCGTCGAGGTCGATGTCGGCCGCACAAATCCGACACTGCGTCGCGGACCGGTCCGCTCGCCGATCGCGCTGCTGCTCGAGATCGTGTGCCGCTGTACCCATTTTAAAAACGGGGGCAAAAAGGCAGGAAAAGAATCAGGTGGAAGAGAGAGAGGCGAGGAAAAAAAATGATGAAAAAAAATATAATGCGCCAGGTGGAGGGAGGAACGATTTTTTTCTCGTTCCACGACTGGAAGACTTTTTCTTTACGATAAATCCCCGAAAGAGACGCGTATGATAACGACAGGCACGCACGCCGATTTGAGAGAGGGCGATCTTTTTCTTTTATTTTTCCTTCTGGTTCCGCGAGAATGAACGAATACGGCTAATGAGACGCGTTGAATCGTCTCGCGACGCGGTGTCTTCATGTACCCGGACAACGACGACGCATCCTCGGTCGCGAGGAGCGGCGGCGACGACGGCGGCGGTCGCGACCGAGAAGAAGCGCGTGTGTCTCCCGGCGGCGGCCGAAAGCGGGCGAACGAACGAACGAACGAACGAACGAGCGACGGCTCGCTGATTATTCTATAACGATTTTCCCTCTTTTTTTGTTCCGCCGTATACTTTATATGAGTGGAGCCGCGGATTGGGCGAGATTATAAGCCGCGCGGCACGGCGCGACGCGACGCGACGCGAGACGTCGTGCCTCTTTATAAAAACAGACGCGCGCTCTCCGCGATAGTCGTCGGGCGTCGGCGTGCGTCCGTCCGTCCGTCTCCCCCCGAGTGCTCAATACAAAATATATAATAGCATTCGTCGATTTGAAAAACATATGTATATAACCAATTGTTTTATTTATGGATTCCGCCGGCGCTCCGCGGCGCGGCGCGACGCTACGCGACGCGACGCGGCGCTCTCCGCGCGTCACGCGTCTATATCTGTCCGCGGCGTCGCCGCCGTCGTCGTCGCCGTTGCCGCTCGCATCCGAAAATCCCATATTATTACATCGATTACAAGGACCACGCGGCCATGCGGCGCGCAAAGAATAAAATGCATCGGCGCGCGGGCCACTCTTAATTAGTCCGCCATCTTGGCGGACTCGTCAATTTTTTCCTTCTCTCGATCGTGGTTCACGCGCTCGCACGATTCCCCGCCGCGATCGCCACGTGCTCGCGTGGCCGTTCGCTCTCCTGTCGGTCGCGCTACGCGCGCTTCCTTATTCACGGATGCGTCGTACGCCCGTGATATCCGTTCCGCGATTCCGCGCTTTCCCGCCATTTCTCGCGTCGTCGGTGTTCCTCCGCGCGCGCGCGCTCGCCCTGTTTTTGCACGCCGCGAAAAATAGTCCGCGGACACGTTTGACGCGAACGAACAGCCTCCCCCCTCCCTTCCTCCCGCCGTTTAACGGGGGAGGAGCAAGGAGTTGGCGCTACGCTCCACGCGTCCCCATTTAAAAAAATCAATACTTAATAATTAGCAATTAATACGCGCGCGGAGTTTATGTGTGTGCGTGTTATGTGTCTGCCGATTACCATTCTCTCAGTCTCTTCCGCCCCGCCCTTAATCACATCGCGTTCGTGCAATGACACAATCATTATTTCATTAATTATTCGTATCGACGTTTATTGTTCTCTTTTTTGTGTACTATTGCATTATCGTTTTCATTGATTCGAGATATATAAAAATAGAAAAATATAGTTTTTGCGAGATGCGTGGAATTAATTCGAAAAATGTAATAAAATTATAATGATGAATTTTTATCATAATTAATAATAATTAAAAAATGCCTTTATAATCAATAATTCAATTATGCATAATCTCATTAATGTTTTTTTTTTCATTAAATTAATTATGTATAATTATTATATATAAAATGTGATCAATAATTGATTAAATAGGCGATTGAATAAATGTTCCAAAAACAAAGCAGATGTTATATTTATAATTGTTAATAAAATTGTTTGAAAAAATGAATATTAGATCAGATTATTTTTTCTCTTTTATATAATTAATATATAATTTCACTTAAAAAGTTATATATTTCTCTCTTTCTTTCTATATAAAAGATTTAAGAAAATTAAAAAGTACATTTCATTGTTGCACTTCTTATCACTATAATTGATTATAGTGATAATTTGATTAATTATTATTGATTGATATATCATTATGATTATAAAAAATTTTTATTCACAAATAAATATTCACTTACATATCAAACATATTTATTATATAGTATTTTTAACAATCGTGATAAAGAGAAAGAACAAGAGAAATAAATGTAACTAAATCAGAGAAGGACATAATCTAGAATAATGAATCATAAAAATAATTAATAAATTTTTTAAGCATAAGAATAAAATATAAATCGAGGACAGTCGATTTATAAAGACGGTCATCAATATATGAAATGTTTTATTTTGTAATAAATTTAAATAAGTTTGAAAAAGAAGACAATACTTTCCTTTTATCGAAAGCACATATTTCTTCACTATATCCTAACATTTTGCCTTATTTTGAATGGGTAAGAATAATTTGAATTCTGCTGGCAATTCATCTTCGGAATACAATCGATCTGAGAAGTACACTCGTCGTATCCTACAATTAGCATGAATTTGTACCCTCAATGTCTCTACATAATTTGTTCCATAGGCTCGGCGTGTAAAATCAGCCAAGTTGAACTGTATTTGATTCCACCCATCATCCAGTCTCATTGGCATAGTACAAATAAATGGTTTTACTCTTGTTGTAGATTGATAGTTGCTAGCGCGGAATCTGCGACGTACGTTTTTATCATCGATAATCTATAACACATAAATATTGTTTTTATACTGAGAAAAATTAAAATTTAAAAATAAGTTCTCTACAAACTATTCGATACAATAAGAGCTACCTGAACTTCAAATGTGAAATATTTCTTCAGATTTTTAATGATCATCACCAAGAAAGGTAACTTTATACCCAAAGTTTTTCTTGGATCTGCAGGACATGTAATATACGTTGTACTAACGTTGCTGCCCAGTATTTCCAGAACAAGACTTTGGATGTCATTGTCAGTGATCCTCTTAATATGTCCATTTCTCACCTTTTTATCCCAGATTTGCAACGGTTTACTGCCAATGCTGTACAGAATGGATAAGAATCCACTTTGGAAAGTATTTTTAAACATTTTTTGGTTTAAAATTTAGCTGCTGCAATAATTTTTTCTGTTCTATCAAAATAAAGCTATTCGTCTATTATTTTCTTCTTGAGTCTGCAATGTATATTTTGAATATTTTAGTTGATTTAACATCGTTTTTTATGTGCAAGATGTAAAATTGCAAAGAACTAACCTTTTCTCATCTTGACAAGAACCGAGCTGAAAATATATTATAAACGATGAATTAAGAAATGTTCATATTTAACATAATAAATTTCCTGCTCTTTATATGTCTATTTTCATTTAATTTTAATTTACTGTCTCTCATAAAGTGTTGTCTCAAAATATTTAATGCAACTCTAACCTAACGAAACGTTTGATCGATACGCCATTTTTTTACTTTACACTAGATACTAGGAATATTTTAAGGCTGATTTTTCATACGCGATGAATTTGTCCAATATGATTGGCCAACTATTAACTAGGGAGAAGTTCAACAATTTACAGATTAGCAATACAAATAAAAATATATAAATGTACATTAGCTCACACATTTCAGATATTATCAAATTAGAAAAATAAGAAAATAATATTTTAAAATTTTACTTCACTTACATGTATGAATATCTCAGACTTATAACAAAAATCTTTCAAATATTTTTTTAATTTTAGTTTCTAAAAATATTTGTCAAATGTTTATATAATAAATACATTTTACAAATTAAATAATTCAATTAATAAATTAAATTCATATAAAAATAAATACATTTGATAAAAGAATGTTACACTTGGACGAAATCTCTAACAGAGGTAAATAAAACGTATTTCGAGATTCGTGTGCCACCTTGTCATGCGTATATTTGAAACGCACAGTAAAAAGGCCATATACATATATGTGAAACCTTTCTACAATTGTTTATCAACGTCAAATACAAACTGATGCTGATAAAAGAAAGCAGTAGATTCCTATACGTCGTATAATTCATTTTCGAAATGCAATTAAAGCTTTGTCGGTATAAAGAATCATTCCGATTCTTAAGATTTACGTATTTAAGAAGCAATTATTTTCAATATGAAGGCTGCTGAAAACTCGCATTACGTAATTGTATTTTGTTACAGCATACATTATAGCATACGAAAACTCAAATCGCTTTACTTAGATATAAATCTAACATAATTAAACTATATTATGGTATTGAGTATACTTTTTTGCGCTCGGTATTCATCCAGTCAAATAATTACGAGTAAAAAGTAGCGAGAACATATTTTATCAAAGTGATTTTTTAAACAATTTTCTAGTTAGCTTTAATCAAAAGTAAGCAAATGTTTCGTAGCGTTTATGTATGTATGACTATTAAAATGAAATTACAGAACGCAACATAGATCATACATGAAACTAATGTTTCACAATTGTTTCTCCTTTATTTAGCCAATATCGATGCATCGGCTAGTATTTTTTTAACACTTTACGAATCAAGCTCAACATTTTGCTAAGTTGATTTCTTAGTGGACTCTCCTTAAAGTGTTGAAGGATTCTTTTTTCTGGTACCTTGATACCTTATTTGGTAAATTGATACCATATTCGCTTATCTATCATTAATATTAACTATATGGTATTACAGTTTATATGCATAAAATTGTGTTCTTCTCTCGCAGCGTACATGACGCAAGTTATTCAATTCTTCTCTCCTTTCTGTTTGTCTTTCTCAAAAAATTATACATAATGGAATCTACCACTGTGTCTCGTAATACTGTATTGTGACATGAACAAGAAAGGCTCACTTATAAAAGCGATCAGGCAAAAAATCCAACTAGCATCTCGAAAAATCAATAAATAATTTTCACCGAATGTCTTTTAAATTATCTTCGAATTGATCAAATGTAACTCGCGTTAATTTCAGTATATTAATCATCGTGCGAACGCTTGTTACAAATTTTCAATATACCGAGCACCGGGCATTACGAATAAAGTGTGTACGAATTTAATGAACAATAATACAATTTATTTAGTTGCTTGTATTTGTTGTTCAATAAATCGCATAATACGAATAATGAATAGAAGACAGCAAGTTATTTGATTGAGAAAGCCGGTACAAAACTTTGCATTATTACATCGTCAAAATTGTAAGAGACAACGTTTATATTTTGCGCAAAATATAGAGAACTTAATTTTGAATTTAAGTAAAATTATACGAATATTCAAAGTCTGTACCGTTTCTCAATATTTATCTTCATTCATTAAGTTTTATCCACTCTACTGCTTTTACTCGGCAATAACGCAAAATTTGCCATTGTTTCAGGATTATTTCTTAACAAAATTAAAATAATTTTGTAATATAATCCTGACGCGTAACGGGACAAGTTTTGGATTATCTCCTTTTTTTTCCTTATATTCGACGAAATTTCCTATACAGCTTATCATTATCATTTATTTGCAAACGATAAATGTGTATGGAAATTTCTTTATTCCCTTTGTTTCTCAACCAGACAAAATTCGTAGCTGTATTCGGATTGTTTTTTAATAAGACTAAAACAATTTTGTAATGGTTTTGACGCAATGGGATAGCTTTTTAATTATTATCATTTTACGTTTTCCGAAATTTCTGATGCAGCCTATCATTATTCTCTATCTTTGAATGATAGGTGCATGGAAAATTTCTGTTCTCTTTACTTCTCAATATTTCACGATACATGAATATGTAACCCCAGAATGCTTCTGGCCCCTATATAAAAGCAAATTGGGGCATAGGGACAGTATATATCCCATTACCTATGTTTTACCAATTTAAAGTTTAGATACTTAATCTTTCATAAAATTGTTTAATCAGCACAAGTCTCTGGCACATGTAGCCAGAGTTTGTTCTGGAAAAAGACATGATTTTATGTATAATTTTCATATGCGACTCAATAAAAAATTTTAATTTGTTTTGTTCGATAAAACAAAAAAAAACATACATCATAAAATAATCAATTCTGGATTAAGGGTAGAAATAGAAATATAAAAAAAAAGAAAAAAAACACTGTTACGATTGTTAATTTGTGTATTAGGTAACAAGACATAGCTCTCTTTATTCATGCTAATGAGAAAGCCAAGGAATTTGATTGAGAAATTAAGAGATGGTCGCATTTCATCTCCAGGTCGTCATTTCATTTCTCTACGGTGTTCATATGATCATAGACCAAGACTGGAGAATGACCATTGTGAATTATCATAGATAAGTATTTCACGATTGTGATCCTGTCAATGAAAATGTTACAATAAATATAGCAGTTATAGTTGTCACTGCTAGGATCGCAATCATAATCAAGCACCAATAATATTTCTCGATTTCACAGTGATTTCACAGTGATTTCACAGTATTATTAATTTTGCAAGAGTCATTTTAATATACAAATAGCTCAATACATTTTTTATGATAATAGATTTCTGATAGTCACAGATGTTCTTTTAGCTTTGCCTACTGTAACTAATCAGACATTTTTATACATTAAAAATTAAAGAATTCTTGCATAATTATTAAATACTCGTTTATTGGTGCTTGAACAGCATTTCAATGTAGTTAAGACACTGCAAAAGATTAGAAAGATTTTACATAATACATGCTAATAATTAACTTATAGATAATTGTATATAAATTGATTACAATTCGTTTCTATTCGATTTTTTATCATACTTCAGCAATGTGCAAAGTAAGCAATCTAACAAATATAATACGTAAAATAAAAATCTAAATTATGTAATGTGCTTTAAATCTTTAACCAAATTTCTCTGAAAAATGAATGCATTTTTATAATTACAATCAGATTATTATATAGAGTAATATAGAAAGAGATTCAATATACAAAATAAAGCTTCCACAAGAATAGATAGAAACCTAAATGAAACAACATATCTGCAGATGAAAATGAATAAAAGATGAAAACAATGAATGAAGAATCAATCAAGTATCAATTTTGTGGAGAGTTTTATAACTATGACAATTAATTTTCTTCTGCAATGTCTTAAAAAAGCAGAAATATAACTCAACATCATATATAAGTCTTAAGCTATTTGGTTACTTATCAATAGCTCCATCCATGTTATTTTTAACTTGAATGCTAATGTGTATTCCATCACCAGACACACCTTTGTCTTTCTTTACTTGCGCTGCATTCGAAGCATTGTCGAGTCCCAATTTACTGAGAGTGCGAAGTGCTCTTAGCGCTGCTTGATTGCGACTCGCGGCTATTGTCGCCCCATTACCGTGACAAACTTGTGGTGGATCAGTACTTAGTGATACAAGTGATAAATATTCCTTGTTTATAGATACTCCCTGGAACATTAGATGGAGAAAATATTACCTATTTTGATAACATTGATACTGAACTTATCATTTCCCGTTTATATATGCACGGTTCATCTCTTTTTAATTAATTAAAATTTTAATTTTATTTTAATGCATTAAATAATAGCTATAAATTACCTTTGGAAAATCACTGAATTCTACAGTAAAATTAAATAATTGAGATAAATAATGTAATTGATCCTTGGGTGAAACACCAGCCGCATTCTGTTGTTGTCCACGTAATTCTTCAGCAACTATTTGTACACTGGGTCCATTTCCCAATTTAGATTCTTGACCTCCGTCCACTAATAAAAGACCAGGCACTAGTTGACGGCCTATGGTACCTAATAACAAAAATAAATTTTTTTAATTTATTGAATATAGCCAGACAATTTATATTCTTTTCTCTTACCTCCTACTGAATGAGGTGGAGTATCATTTACTTGTTCATCTTCGAGAAACGTCACTTTTCTGGGTTTCGATTCCGTGTTTTCGCTGTCTCCTGTCTTTATAGATGGTTTCGCGGGTTGCGGCGATGGTTTGCTATATCCTAATTGCGCCAAGAGAGCCTCAGCTGCAGCTCTTTTAGCCAATTTCTTGTTAGGTCCAATTCCCTGTGCGGAGTGTTGACCCATTGTCACTTCCATGACAAATTCTCTGCGTCTTGGCGCGCCTTTCTCGTCAATTAAATTGTAGACTGGTTCTCTTTCACGTTTCGCCTGCTGAATCTGAACTAGCCGGGAGACCGGATTGACTTCCTCCGCGGCTTCACTTTCTGAACGAGGCTCCTGGTAAACCTTTATTAAATTACGAGATTTCTTTTTAGTTGCTGGTGGCTTACGTTTTACTCGCATCGATCGATTCTGTATTGTAGCTGGTAAAGGAGGAAGACGTTTTAATTCTTCTAACATCAACTCGGCAGCGCGTTTCTTTGACACCTGAAAAGTAAAGAAGCATAAAAGAATATTAAAAATCATATATATCATATTTGTTGTTTTTCTGCCTAAAAAATATAAAGGTTTACTTTTTTTGAAGATCCTTCTCCCACAGTGACTTTGTCACCAACAGTGCATTTCGTCATAAAGGTTCTTATGTGAGGTTTACCACTCTCGGATACAACTTCAAAGCTCACTGATAATCCACGTTTCAGAGCAGTTTCATGAACTAATGACACTGGACTTTTCAACTCAGCGTTTGGATCATCAATACCATTCAATGTACCATTTTCATTAGTGTTATTCACGGTTGCGATTTCTTCCGGTAAGGGCAATTGCCGCAGCTGTTCTAAAGCTCTGCTAGCTGCATCGTGGCGGGCCGCTTGACCTGTCAAACCTCTACCCGTGAATTCGCGTTCACCAACTTTGAGCGTAACGAGATATAATGCTTGAAGATCTGTATGAACTCCGCGATTATATGGAATTCGAGGATTGTACATTCGCGGAAAATTATTAAAACTATGCGGCATAAATTGATGCTGTAATGTAGCTGGCGGAGCTTGTCGGAACGTATAAACAGTTGGTTCACCTCGTTTCATTGCTAGAGCATTCAGTTCAACAGTAGGTGGTAAATGTCCTGTAACGCAAAATAGTACATAAGTAGTGTTACTATATAATAATTATATAATTAAAATTGAAATTTAAGAAAATAACGTCATAAGTTGATATTATTATATATACCGAAATTATCGAAATTACCAGAACCTGCCGGGCATTTGCCCAGATGGCCGATTCTCATAGCCTTGGTGGGTTTAGGCGGAGGTTGACGATACCACGTCTTGGTTAAGGCCTCGGTCGCTGCACTGTGTTGAGCTTTCTTTATGCTAGGACCTTCCGCAACGTATTCTTCCTCGCCAAGTTTCAATGTCACTGTAAATCTCTTCTTGTGCGCCGGTCCCTGCTCGTTGGTCAACCTATACTGATGTTGAATCCTATTGAATCTCGCTAACTCATTCAACAAGCACATGGGTGTTTTTTCTTTCATGTTTGCCAAGGCTGGATTAGTTCCGTTGGCATGATTCTGATTGGACGAATTGTCATCTCTGGACTCTCCATTGGCATCGTTTGTTATCGCCTTTGATTGTTCTATGTTCGATTGCTGTGACATATGTTGCGGCTGTTGTTGCTGCTGCTGCTGCTGCTGTTGCGATTGTTGCACTTGCTGCTGCGGTTGTGGCTGTTGGATAGACTGATTCTGTTGATTATTTGGTTGCTGCTGCTGTTGTTGCTGCTGGTGTTGATATTGAGGTTGCACATTTTGAAGAGTCACAGAAACTGTATTTGTTTGGTCCTTCATGCTAACGCTAACCATGGTATCTGAAGTGAACGTTTTGAATTATTTTTACATTAATAATTGGGAATGAAGGATTAATTCTATCACGATGTATTTACTGTTTGTATTGTGCGCATTCATGCCCATCAACATCGGCTGTCTCGGATTTCCATGCGGCGGGCCAGGATGCTGCATGTGATGCATATGTTGTTGATGGGGGGGCATGGACAGTATCGGTTGATGAGGATTCCGATGCGGCAACAGATGCTGTGGTTGATGTAACTGAGTCATATTAGCTTGTTGCATAGGCCGCATCGGTCCTGCCATTCTAGATAGAAACATTTTAAAATAATTAATATCAATATAATTATATATTTACAATTAATGTCAATGTATATATTTATATATTTATAATTATATTTATATAATATATTGATATTAATTATATATTTATAATTAATATCAATATAAATCTTACTAAATACAATTTTACTAAATACAATTTTATATTTATAATATTAACTCTGTCTATAAATTTATAATAATGTATAATTATTATTGCTTCTATAATCTATATATAATATTTAATTTTTTTGAAACAAAGAAATAATGTAGTAGTTTTTATCATACATTCATCATATACATAAGATCATTAATGGTTTGTCAACAATTTTTACATATATAGTAATGTGACTTATCAAATCATTAAATCAAATCATTAAATAAACTTAAGAAATTTCCTAGTCAATTTATAAGTAACTCATAAATACTACTTTGTCTAAATTAATATTAAGTAAAAAATGACTAAATATTAACCTATTATGATCCCGTAGTTGATTCTGCATTGCGTGATGTTGGTGACGTAACATCTTATGAAAATGCACAGAAAAATCTGTAAAAAAAGAAATCGAAAGAAAAGGATTATTAATCCAATTTCAATATTTTAGATATATCTTAGACAAATAACAAAATTATCACACACATATAAGTAATTTTTTATATTTGTGCTATGCACAATCAGCTGCTGAGAAATTAAAAGATTTTTTTATCAAAAATAAAATATATATACATTTGTTTTCTACTGACGAGTTCATATACAGCAAGTAGCAGACTACAAACAATTCTTCTGCTATCTTGCTAATTAATTAAAAGAGAATGCAAGTAAATTCTCTCTCTTTTATCATTATCAATGAATAAATAATTTTCGAATAATCTATAAATTGCGCTGCTCGTGAAAGCAATCGGAGCAGACCGCAATGGAGCTCACATCTACTCTAAAAAGAGCTTTGTTCCGAAATAAGGTTCCATTGTATACGCGGTATTTTTCTTTTTTTCGCGTAGACGAAGGCGTTTCTCGCGTTTTCGGAATATTTAAAACGAAATCTTACGAACACGCAAAGTGATCGACGGCGGGCGTGGATTATCCGAACGACTTCGATATATAGGAACACGATATAACCTTTCCGCGTGAAGGGCGAGCCGGTAAAATGAGCGGGTGACGAGAGACACGATTTCGCGGCCGCGTGCAATTTCGACGCGACAACGAGGGATTCCGCCTATAAATAAAATTCGTTATCGAATAAAATGGGCTTGGTCCAGCGGCGGCGGTGGCGACGACGAAGGCGATCTTCACGGAACTCGTGGGAACCCATCGAACGCCGACACGCTTTTTTCTCAATTTTTATCCTTACCCTATTACGTTCTATTTCACGGAAATTTGGTGCGCGACGCACGATGCAGCGAAATTTCCGGCGAAACAGATCGGTCACGATAGATCTAAGAGAACACCGCCAGGCCCTCGGCACGGCTATTGGCAAACAGTAAAGAAAAGTACTCTGTAGACTAAAATGCGGCCATTTTGATGTGAACTAGCGGCGTGCGTGACGTCACCGATACCTCTCCGGGTGAGTTCGGAAATCCTATTCGTGGGATAGAGCAGCGTCGACTCGACCAATTAGAACAGAGGAATATTTGCCCCCTTTGTCCTGATTGGCAGATTAGATGCTACTGTACACACTACTGCGATTTTTAAACACACGCATGTTTACATAGAAATCAAACTGGAGGAAGTAATAACGGAAATAACGAACGAAATTCATGGCGAACGAGAAATCAGATTTATTCAAAATTCGCTTGTGCTACGCGTCATGTGTTATATGCATTCTTATGCATTTCAAGTTGAACACTTTCAGGTATCGAATGTATTATATTTGGATATTCAATATGATTGTTGATTAAAATATTTGAATTCTTTTTTTAGATTATTGTTAAATATTGCATAATCTGTAATTTTATTTTTTTAACTTTGCGTTTTATTTCTCACATCGAATACTTGCAACTGCCAAAACTATTTAACGCATATTTATTTATACATATCCAGTTGCACATATTTAAAATTATACATCATTATACTTAATGTATTTCAAATTATACATTTGTTCTTTTCTTTTCGTATGTCGTGACTTATTGAGAAGAAAAAAGATTCGTTATAGTTGCCGACATTTATTTATTTTTATGAAATAACATAATAGACATAAATCTATTATTAGCTGTTATTATACTTTAATTAGATATCAGAGTTACCACTATTTTAATTAAATTCGAATTTAATTAATTATTAATTAATTATTACAGAAGTCTCTATTTTTTAATATCATTTACATATTTTATATATATCTATTGCTAATTCGAGCTTTAATAAAGTACAAGCAGTGAAAATCTATTTCAAATAAAAAAAAAACAAATAAAGTTGCTACAAATAAACAATGCTTCTTATAATATAATTCAATAAATATAATTACATTTATAAAAACAAAACGATTAAACGTCATTATTTTTCACAACTACTAGTTAAATTTATATTTTAATTATACATATATATATATATATATATATATATATATATATATATATATATAACTATAACTCTAATAATTAAATTTTATTTTTTTTTTAAATTGCAATTTAATGCAAATAAATTTTTAATTATTCAAATTTAATTGTCGCTCTTTATGATGAAAAAAGCATAAATTTGTACAATTCTAATAAGAATTAATTATTATTATAAATCGGAAAAAAATCAGTACGCCAATATTTGTGTACCAAAAATGATTCGCCGTAATATATTTTAAGCTTTATACCGAAATTTTCAGATCAGTGTAAGATGGCAATTGCACAGCATATGCAGGTTGATTGTTTTCGCTGACGAAGACCGAACCGTTCTCACCCTTTTCGATCAATTCCACAATTGCACTCGCCACATGCTCAGGTCTGTTAAACCGAAAGAATATTCTATGTAAAGAATATTATATATGTGTGTATATATGTCTATCACAGATCCTTTTGACACACAAATCAATTCTTTAATTAATGTCATTAGGATATAAAAATAAAACAGATTTTACTTTTATTATTTTTATTTTGAATATGATTTCTAATCTATTTTTTTAAATTTATAATTATATTTATCTACGAGATTTATCTACGTTTATATAAATTCTAATTTATTATATACGTTCTTGATTTATTATTTATTGTTTTTATTATACACACATATATATAAAGTTTATTTTATCTATTTAATAAAATTAGGTAAGAAATAAAAAATAAATGTTATATAAAAATACTATAGGCTATACTATATGTGACTTACGATTGACTTTCCATTGTTGTCATTTCCTTAGCAGCGATCTCATCGTCGAGAATGTCCATCGCATAGGCTTTGCTTGACATAAACTTGGAGGCCATATTAGTATTTGTGAGACCAGGACATATTACCAAAACACGTATTTCCGTCTTTTCATAAAAGGTCTAGAAAAATATGCTAAACTTGATTAGTAGTTATAATATTTCAAATGTGTTGCAGCATATTCAAAAGGTAAAATAACAATAGTTTAAATAATTTGATAGGAAGAGAGGGAATGAAAAAATATATAAATTTTCAGATTTATTATTTATTTATATAAGTCACATTTTTACCTGTAACGATAAAGTAAAACCGACGATGGCGAATTGCGTCCCGGCGTAAATCGGTGCGAGCGGATTGCTTTGCAAGCCAACTATGGATGACATGTTAACGATAGTTCCACCCTTTCCGCCCTTATGCTTTCCCATATGATTCAGACCCAAAATCGTGCCGTGTACAATCCCTTTCTAATTATAAAGGAGATAACACGTTAAGAATATCAGGAAATAAATTTTCGATGAATAATAATAAAAAGCGGACTTACATAATTAATATCAACCATCGGCTCCCAATCCGCGTCGTTCATGATGCCGGCACTATTGATAACAATGTCCAGCATACCAAATGATTCTATCGCCTTCTCAAAGCAAACTGCAAAATTATATACATTAATTAAATGCTTCATTTAATCGAAAATTTCTTTACTTTATTTTAAAATAATTTATCGCATAGATAAATAATTATATAATACATTATAATTTACAATCACCGGTCATAAACTGATTCGTAATAAGATTATTGATATTATTTATGTATGATGCATCTTATTATTAGAACATTTTTTGTTTAGCAATCTTTTTTATAATACAATACCCGTAAGTTCCTCGGCATTCGCCACATCTCCAACGAGGAAAATAACGTGATCTGCGCCGAATTCTTTCTCCAATTCTGCAACAGTAGTTTCGCCATTCGAGTCGGGCAAATCTACAATTGCTACGGACTGCAAAATATAATAATTATCAATTTAATAATACATTTCTTCCTGCATCTCTGTTTTAAACATTATTTAAAACATTATCTCCCATTTAAACCTATATTTGCGCCGCGCGCGTTTCTCCTATTATTACTCTAATGTTGAAGATATATGTGATATATAATTTGCAGAAAATATACTAGCAAATTATATTTCATACATTTGGGATTTTACTAAATTACCTTTGCTCCATTTCGAAGCAATTCCCGAGCGGTGCAATAACCGATTCCATTGGCTCCGCCGGTGATAAGCACGGTTTTCTCCTGAATCTCCATTATAGATGCGTCTTGTTCTCTTGGATGAATGCGAATCGCGATTCCCGTGTAGATTCGGATCAATCTTGTCAGATACTGATCCCGCAAATGAATCTGTCAGGTATCGCTGAAGAGGAGCCGCAGATATTGACATTTGAGATGTCGACCGTACGTGATAGAATATCAGATGCAGATCATATGAACTCGTCTTCGAGGTAAACAAGATCGGATTTGCGCCGATAGGCAAGAAGCAGCGGGAACAAAATCATTTGATGCTGCACGAGGAACGCGTGTTGAATAATTCGAAACGAATGTGAGAGAAATATAACTTAAATCCATTTCTTGATGTTGTATAAGATGTCACTAGTATTGTGGATAGGATTATCATTTTACAGACGTATTGAATGTAAAAAATATCTAGCAATAATAGGATCGGATTTATATATATAAAATTTTTATATCTTATTATTTTGAAACTCTAGTTATTGTTTCGTAATCTTTGAATTAACTTATAATATCAGTCTATTTTATATCAAAGAGATTTTTGGATAGACATTATGTGATCCTCACTTAACCAGTAAATTAACGGAGATTTAACAGGGAGAAGATAGGAAAATAGATATTTCTCGTATAAAATAATACAAATCCGATCCAGTGATTTTATTAAAAGGCAATGCATTTTATTAGCAAGACTAGCAACATACATACCATAATATATAACACGTAACAAAAACAAAATCAACAGTCGCCACTAATTGCGTTATCAAAGCTACAAAGAATTATTACGGGCGATATCTCTCGAACAAAATCTACTAGCTAGATATCTGACTAATGTATCGAAGTTTTTATATGAGTTTTGTAACTTGATGCAATCGCGCATTGTACAAATCTCCTCATGAATCGTAATATCTAATATCGAAAAATGATCGCATTGAGCGTCTCAACTTGCACTCAAGCTATAGATCCTAATTCTATCGCTATACCATATTTCTAAATATTTTTTTTTGTTTTCCTCAAAAAGACTGTAGAAAAATTAGAGACATGATTGTTGAATATGTAGTTTCGCTTGGATAATCATCCGACGGATTTCGATTCAATTGTATTCGCGATTACACTGATGCAAATAACCGTTGACACACGACAATTATCGAACTTTAAAGTGGAAATGGGCACAAGTAAAAAAATTTCAGCTTTTAAGTAAATTTTTAAAGACGTACAAAAAATTTGATTATTTATTTTCTTAAAATTGTTTAATTTTTTTCATATTTTTCTGTACGATACTCTAGTCATCTAATACTTTTATAAAAAACATTTAAATGAATATACGTAGATATATTTTTAATGTAAAAGACTTGTCTGATTGTTCTATATTTTACTTGGCTTATTCCACTTTTATTTAATTATTGATTATGCTTCTGTCGCTCTTAATAAATATAATATATATAAAGATTTGCGATATTCTCCATAAAGAGAATTTCCATCGAGTCAGAGTTATCTGCATCAATCATTGTAAGGGACGTATGTTAATCTGTCTCTCTTTTGCTTTTTGCTTCGAGAGCGCAAAATAAATCTTTCAATCTATCACACACGCTCTTTCCCTGATTGCACACAAGCAATAAATACAAAGTGTCTTTATTATATTCGACCTAGTAAAAATGTGATTACGTTACATTTAGCGCTATTAAACGGAATGGATTAAACGGAATCGTCGATATTATGATGGATACGTTAGAAAAATGAGTAAGCTATATTATGGGACGATTACAAAGAGTGCGGCAGGATTTAGATATCGTTGTGATAATATTTTATCAATACACAAATATCTGCGCAACATCTAGAAATTATTTCTCGAGTTCAAGATTTTTGGGCTGATAAGCAAGTGCATTGTTGAGGCCCATTCAAAAGAAACCGCAAATTTGCAACGTGGGTGCGGGACGGAAGCAAAAGCCATTTCCTTTTTTTAGATTATTTTCTTTTTTTTTATAATGTATGTAATTAAATGTTCCCGTCATCGCAACGCACGTTGATCTTGCATGGATTTTTTCTCCTTTTTAAATATCGCGATTTTGTTTATCTCTCTTTCCCCTTTTTAAATATCGCGATTTTTGTTTATCTCTCTTTCCCTCTTATAATTATTAAATCTTCGAGTCTCACATCCACATTCTGACTCGTAGATTTTGCTATGTCAGTATAAAATGTACCAAAAGTATCGCTATATTCTATCAAAAATCGGAAGTAATGTTAGCTTCAAATAATATTCTCGTTGTCGTTATTATAGAAAACGTGGTTCTTCAAAATATACATCGTATGAAAGTGTAACTATGTATACTTCGCTTACGCATTCGCCTTCTTGATAACGATGTTCTGGCAGGTGACGGGATATATTTCGATACAAATTACGGTTAATTGTGCGGTACGGCATAGATATTCGCAGCGAAGCGAGAAAGGGTTGTATGAATTCTGTCTTAGTGCTTCGCGAAATTAATTTCGTGCGGTGGTTGATCCTTTTCCACCATCCACACGCTTCCGCTCTTGCCGGTGTTTAGTACTTGTATCAATGCCTTTGCCACGTGTTCCGCCCTAGAGAGTATCCAACATTATTTTCAAATTGCTCCTATATATTAATGCCACTCTATATGTATTTCCCTATACTTAAAGAAAGTAACGCAACATTCTTCTAAATAATTAAATTTGTTTATTATGCTACAATTATATTTTTTTTAGAGAGAGAAAGCAAATTTTTAATTACAAATGAGCTAAAAAATTTTTATAAAATTTTATAAAAAGAAAAAAAGAGAGAAAAGAGAGAAAATAGTTATTCATTTATTATCTTATTCACAATTGGAAAATCATTACGTATAATTACGAATTTAATTATTTAGATATATAAAGAAAAAAATTTTTATATACCTTTGAGGAACTGATGAAGCTGTATCCCTTTGCCATGCATCTTCGTATCGAGCTAATAAAAGCTTCGTATTGACATCTCGTACTAATTTAGTGTCCGTGGCACTTGGACAAAGTGCCATCACTTTAACACCCGTCAAATCTACGTGATATTGATCCTATTCAAAAATTGAGAAAAAAATTAATACGTCTTTATCTCTATTTAATTTAATAAAAATAAAAATTTAAACATACATAATTTAAAATAATTTAATGCACTAATGGAGTAAATGCTAACTTCGAGTATATATTGCATTTGCAAATTTTGAATAATATAAATAAAAATTTAAACGAATTGATCTCCACAAATTGATAATCCATTTTCTGCTATTCTAAGTTAATAGTTATGATCGATAATATAAGATTGATATAAGTATCTCTTACCCCAAAAGCTCTGGTGAAGCTGACGATAGCTGCTTTTGTCGCGGAGTAAATTGGCACGCTCACATAAGGGTTGATGCTGACGTTGCTGCCGGTGTTAATAACGACTCCACCTTGACCACCTCTATCCGTCCCCATAAATCGTTGAGCAAGCAAAGTACCACGTATTACTCCATTCTGTAATTGTCATATTTGCAGCGAAGACAAATTTTTAATACAAATATTAAAATTATTTTATAGTGAAAAGTTTGTTAATATTATTACATGTGCAATGTACAGAATTGTAAGAATTATAAATTATAAGATTAATTTCACAAAAATATTAATTTAAAAAAGGCACATAAATTGCTGTGTAAATCGTTTCGATTAATGAAAAAAATATCAAATTAAAGTTTTCAAAAACACATTATAAGATAAAATATGCAAGTATATTAAAAGAGATTTATCAGACATTTGCTTACAAGATTAATATCTACTTCAAGTTCCCAAAATCGGTCATTCATGATACCAGCATTGTTGATAACAATATCGATATGACCGAACTCTGCGATCGTTGTCTGAAACGATTCTGTAAATTGAATTGCATCGTAATTCTACATAAGAATTGCATTGAGAATAAAAGCAAAATATGTATATATGTATGGACAATTAGTCGCGTTTATGTGAATAAAAATAAATTTACAATAGAGCACAAAATTATTTAGTTACTATACCTTCAAGTTGCGGATAATCCGTAACATCACATTGCGAGAAGATGACACGATCTTTACCATATTTCGCTGCTAATGTTTCCACCAATTGCTCCCCTTCTTCGGTATCAATATCACATACAGCTACCTGTACATAATAAAAAATTATTATAATAAACTTTATATTATATTCATAGAAATTTTTATATATTTAAAGACTATTTTATTTTAAATATTCTTAACGTGAAGATAAATTGCAAGAAAGAAATAAAGAAATTTATGAAATTTATTCATAAAAATTTATTTTTTAAATACAATATATTTATTTAAAAAATTAAGTTTATTTGTTTCTTTTAAAAAAATTTAAATGTAGAAATTGTTATTAAAGCTAACAGAAAATAAAATAAAAGTTTCTAAAAATAGAAAAAATATGTTTATAATATCAGAATGAAAATTTTAAATAAAATAAATACAAAATGTATAATATTACATTATACATATGTCAATCGCCAAAAACCAAGAAGATTTGTTTTTATAGATCTCTTGAGTACGTGATATATTTCTCCTTCGTCTGAGAGCAATCTAAATTTAAATCAACCGTTTTAAAGAAAAACAAGGATTCTTGAAGCATTGTTTTTGCGTGAAATTCCGAGTCATAAAAATACACTACATTCATTGTTTAGAAAAAAAGGAAACCGAATAATCAAAATACTTATAACTAATTGTCTTTTTCTTAAAAAAAAAGATAATTTGATAATACAAGTATAGAATAATAAAAGTATAGAAAATTTGATTAGATAATAAAAGTATAGAAAATTTAAATAAATAAATTTTTTTAAGAAAACATATATACCTTGGCACCCTGATTCAGCAATTCGATGGCATACGCTTTGCCAATGCCAGATGCGGCGCCTGTCACTAGGGCAACTCGCCCTTTTATTTCCATTTTTCTTAAATTCTTGTCGACTTTTGTACTTGCAAGTATAAAAAATATAATATATTTTATAATATTATAATATATTTTAAAATATTATATTATAAAAATATAGATTAATCTTTAGATTAATGTACTAATAGAAAGAATATAACACTGTTTGTAATTTCCTCTGTGTGTAAAGGAATTTTATTTATATAGATTTTAAAATTAAATAATTAAATCGTATTTAATTGTTACTTTGTCACGACTAATGTAATAGTATAAATGTATATATTCTTTTAAATTTCTTTATTTATTTAATTTTAAGTCTGTCTGACTAATACATATACTTTTTAGAGAAAAGTTATATATATATATATATATATATATATATATATATATATGGAAATAGAAATAAAAATAAAATGTAATTTGTCTGTAATCTATATCTATATTTACTGTAATCTTTTGTCATTTTTTCTTATTTTATCGTTTCTTATATTACAATAATAAGTACTAATTTATATAATATACTAACACAATATTTTATCGTTTTATTGATATACATATAACTAGCGAATGATATAATATTTTAACATTTAACTTTAACATTTAAAAAAAACACGATGAAAACTTACTTTTTTCATGAAAATTTTAAATTCGTCTCATTAATCTAACATTGTACATCTGTAAATTTTAACATTTTCCTTGGGTTCTTTTTTTTCTTTCATTAGGAATAAATTTATATGTGTTTCAATGGAAGCACTCATTCAAAGGAATTCACAAACTACTTTTTCATCTGTCACTTTGACTTCGAAATCAGCAAGAAATTAAAATTCTGATATCAAAGATTTCAAGTGGACAAACGCACAGTTTGTATTTAAAAAATTTACCTTGAAATTTCAACATCATTAAACCTTTAAACAAAAAACCTTAAAAATGTATCTATTATATATCGTCTAGTCTGGATGTTCTCTTCATCTACCTTATCAAGATTAAATTTTTTTCGCTGATTTTTATTCTTTACGTTTGTATACCTTTTGGATTCTTCCGTCAACGTTGACTTTTCGCAACAAGCCAGGTGCAAGCTGGTGAACTGGATAGCTTGCTTGGATACACTAATCTAAATGATGCTTTTCCTCCGTTGAAGAAATGTAGTTGATAGCACCGAAGTAACGAAAGGTGTGGTTGATAGCTGATGGTGTACTGGCTGACTGACGATCACAACGATTGGGGTGCACACCCGGTATAGTCTGATATTGATTGGTGCGTCTGCGTGCCATGCGAGTGTGCGCGACGTCGACCGGTGCGTGCCCTTCATGCACGTGCGTAAATGCGTGTGATTCTCCGAGACAGACTATTCGGCAGCCTTGCACGTCGACGTCGGTCCCGTGGCCCCTTTTATTTTTAGAACGATGCCGAAAAAGCGACCCCGCCCCGAAAGTAAAAGTTCAAAATCTTCCTCTTTTACAAGTACTGAATTTTTGTCGATTCTTACACTTGTAAAATGTAAAGATATCATTATGTAAAGATATCATTATAATTATGCTATGAAAATTCATTTGGATTCAATGCATTAATACTATTATTCTTGCAATTAATTAAGTTTGTACAATTTTGCCAAGAATTATAAGAAAGATTCTAATTCGACAAACATATACAATTTTTTCCTTTTATATTATTAGTATTCTTTTAATATCAATTTAATATTTGTAATTTTTTTTTATTATTAAGCGCAATCTGATATTTTAATTTATAGTTCATTTTCGATATACTTTGTTTTCTCGGTTATTTCCTGTAATGATAAAATATTCAAGTTATCTCGACTTTATCATTACTATGTTTACACCAAATACTCACATAAACAGATTTTAAGTTTTTTGGAAGAAATAAAAGAAAGTAGATCTAAATTGAATATTTTTTATTTAAAAAAAACATGCTACGGTGTTATCATAAAGATTAATACATTAAAGATGTGCACAGTATCTTATCTAAAATATTAGGTGTCCAATTTTATTGTCGATTTCCTCTCATATTTTATAAAAATATGTACAAACTTAAGATTTAATTCACACAGTTACTATTGATTTTCTGAAGAATTAAAAAAAAATGTTCTCAAATGCAATATGAATAATAGCAATCTTAATTAGGCAATCGGGAGATGACGTTTAATACAATGTTGCCTTCGCGGATAATTCCGTGGGAGAAGAGAAATCGAACGTCACACGCAGAGCATGAGGTCAAAGATTGTCAAATGAAAACAGTGGATTCTTCCATATCAGTTCAAGGAGGCGAACTGAAATTTTCTCAGAGCGGTCGAAGATCCGCGGTTGATGATCACAGCATCCAAAGAAACATCTTGTCAATTACGTGTGATTAATCATTTCACATAAAATTCATTCGATATACAATTCAGGAACAGAAATTTGGAGATATCGAGTCTTTTTATAAGTGAAGGATAAATTCAGAAAAGACCAATAGCTGAAAATTGGAGGAAAGATGCAGATCAAGGATAAACGAGTTATAGTGACTGGAGCGGCAAGTGATTTGGGTTTGACATTTAGCAGGGAGCTGTTACGGAATGGCGCCTTGGTACGTTATTATTTAATAATAATGAGATTACATATACACATGATATATATCCATATTCAATGTTATTTAATAATAATCCGTTCCACACATACACACACATCATTATACACGTTCTCTTCGTTCTCAATATTTGTTATATTCATAGCAATGATCTTACATGTCTGTTTTTATATTCTTTTTTATCAATGAGAGTAATAAGTTGTTGTAAAGATTAATAGAGTGTAGTTAAATTCCAACATAATGTTTTTCAACCTATAATTTCTGATATATTATCACTTTGATTGATGAATAATTTTTTTTATATAACATCTGTCAATTTTATCTTCACGATTTTTTGACATCTAGAGAATTAATAAACAATATCACTATCTTTGGTTATAAATACAGAAAAATATCTAACTTTTGCTTATGTTCTCGGCAGTACTGTGTCTACTTTAATATCTCTAATTTAATATCTTATTATATTTTATAATATGTAAATTAATTATATGTATATATAATATATTTATATGTTTTAATATAGTCTAATCTAAAAAATTTTATGTATATAATAAAATTACATAGAAATACCGTATTTTAGATATAATTATATACATACATGAAGTTAAAATTTTTGTATTACTTAACAAATAATTTTTATTATTATTAATTGTGTGAAATAAATCTTAAATATGAAAACTGTAGAAAAATACGAAAAATTTTATTTGCAATTTCTATTGTAATATTTATATACGTAATTTAAAAATAAATGATAGTATGCTTATCGTTATAAAATACAAGTAGTGTATTCATATATAGAAGATAAAATTGTCATTAATAAACAAAAGATAAAAATTCCTCTAATCAATGAAATGCAAATCATGTGGCGTACAATGATTCTGAAATATTTATGAAATGCATAAATACAATAGGATCAATCATTATACAATAGGAACTTAATTAGTTTATACGAATTATAGGAACATAAATACTTCTAGATTATAGTTTTGATCGATAGTCGACAATCTCCCGGAGAACAAGTTGTAGAGAATTTAAATAATGAATTTGGTCGTAAACGTGCTGTATTTTTACATTGCGATGTGACAAATAATTCCGAATTTGATGGTAAGTATATTATACATATATATAAGTATATTATACATATATACCACTAAAAATGAAATATTTATTAAAATATACCTGCTTGAATAATTTTTCATATATATATAGCATATTTTTTAGTATTTTCAAATCATCATTTTCAAATTAGTTTATTTTGCATGGACGTATTAATATGCAAATTAATTCTTTGCGCATAATTCAAAGAATCAAATTTATTTACGTTTATAACTCATGTGTATGTTGACAGATAAAAGTTTAAAGTCGAACCTTGTTTATTCCAGTCATATTCAAAGAGGCGATCAACATTCTTGGTGGGCTGGATATTTTAATAAATAATACTAACGTAATAAACGAAATTGATTTTTCCAGAGCTGTCGATGTTAATGTAGTAAGTTTTATTTCCAATATTTGTTCTAATTTTGCAATAATTGCATTAACTCTACAAAAATTGAGTTTAGATTTATGTAAGAGTTAAATATAACGATAAAAATAACTTATAAAAGCGAAATATTTTCTGATAGGATAATCTTTTCTATACATAATTACAATAGCATTGTAGATATATAACTACACGTCACTCTTATACAATTACATTAATTAAAACTTTTAATTAAATATATAACATTAAATATATAAAAAAAGAAAAATTTATTAATAAGAAATTTAAATGTAACTAATTGTGTTTTATATAATTGTAAATAAAACTACGTAATAAGGTAATCTTAGGAAAAGCAAATTCTTTTAAAAATATTAATCTTATTATTACAGACAGCAGTAATTCGTGGGACTCTTCTGGGAATTCAACAAATGCGAAAGGACTCTGGAGGCAAGGGTGGTGTTATTGTAAATATTTCATCCATTGCCGGATTGCAAGCGGTATCTCAGCTTCCGGTATATTCTGCTACGAAACATGCCATAGTTAGTTTTAGCCGATCTTTTGCAGTGAGTATTTACATGACAAAATATATTATAAATAAATCTAATATAACAAAAAAATTAAGAAATAAAAACTAAAAAGAAAAAAATAGATTTTTTAAATATATAGAAACAAATTTTTTTGCGAAGGAAAGATATTTGTATGTGTATAATATTTTAATATAAATATAAGTGACAATTATTTTTTGTGTTCCTTTTTTTATAGTAAGAAATCTGTCCTTTAAATTAAAATTTCGATAATATGAGCTCTCTCTTTCTACACTTTTGTATAATTTTTTATATGCTTCAGAAGAAAGGAATCTTCGTCTAATGAGTTGTTCTAATCTAATATTTTCGATTTACAGCAACCTTATCACTATGACAGGACCAATGTAAAAGTAATTGTTCTATGTCCTGGTTTGACCGGTACACCAATCTTAGAAGATCTACCGCAAGATATTTCGAGCACTGATATTTTGCAAAAATATCGACCGCAGAGGTAAGATTATTGTTAATACATATTTTTTTGGTAAACTCTCTTGAATTTTGTATGAAAATAGAATCTATCATAGGGTGGAGAGTGTCGCTCATGGATTGATATATGTAATTCGTTGCGCGCAAAATGGCAGTGTGTGGATTAACGAAAATGGACAACCAGTTTATGAAGTGCAGCTTCCTGACACTCTACCGCAGAAGAAAACCGAATCCGACGTAAAGGAAAATTAATATGAACTTGATCGGAGATTAAATATCCGCATGTCAGTCGTATAACAAATATCAATATATTATAATTTTCATTTTTATAAAATATCTTATTTGATAAATCCATTATTGATTAATATAAATTATAATATAATGAAATATATTTGTAACAAATATTTAATAAGATATGTAAAAGTTTATATATTTCTTTATTTTATCCATGTAACGTTTTTATTGTTTTATATATATATATATATATATATATATATATATAATAAAAAACACACACATTAAATCTATATAATATATAAACTACATAAAATTTTATATACACATGTATATAATATATATGTGTGTGTGTGTGTGTGTGTGTGTGTATAAAAGTATATAATTTCTATATTCATAATACATTAATGAAAGACAATAAATAAATATATTATATACCGATAATAAATAATCGATTGATATAAAATAATTCTTCAGACCACAAATTTAAATTTGCCACTGCGTAAAAAATAAAGTCATATTTAACGATGATAATGTATGATAATATGCGAATAATATAAACAAACTATAATCTTTAGGCTAGATAATTGGCAAAAAAAACTGTAATCTTACGCAAATAGGCATGAACATATCCGTGAACTGATGCACCTTCGAATCAATACAGATAAGTGGTATGAACGCATAAACGTTCACAGAGGAGAAAATGTCACGCTTTCACTATGTACAATTGAACACGATAATTAAACAAAAATCGTAAAACAGGAATTATTTTTGTCCTGATTCGGAGTAAAGTTCAGAACCGACTCGTGCTGGTTACTAGTATCTGCTCGAAGTTGATTCCTCCGCGCGGGTTCTTTATTAATTTATCGTCGGCACGACGCCGACCGGACGTTAAGTGCACATTTTTCTATTGATAAAATGCTGCAAGCACGAGCTGTGCGCACGTCAAGCTCTTATCGTCGCTTTGTGCCACACGACTGCATCGTGTATATTGTTTCTAGAATTCACCGATGCCACGAGCAATTGACGATAAGCGCCAGATAATTTGAAAATATTGCAGGAATGCAGTGATCATAAGCTTGTTTCTTCTTTCTTCTTTTCTCTAAATTTTTTAATTCTTTTACATGTATATTTAATAAATTAGTCATAAAAGATAAAAAAAGATATCCAATAGCTTTAGCAAATGTCCTATATATTAATGTAGATTCATTATAAATGTTTAGATATTTATAATATGTAATATATATATATATATATATATATATATATATATATAATGCATAATTATATGTAATATAATTGCAGCAATCGTCTAAGTACTTTATCGATTTTGTTGAATTTTCGCATTATCTGTATTTCCAAATTTAATGATGCAAAAAGACCACCCCATGTAGTGATAAGGTCGCGGAAGATACATAACATTTGATTAAAGTCGACTGCCAACGATAAGGCGATTAATGATTATTTTATTGCGCATTTTTCTTCTTATGCTCATTGCTTATGCCAATACAATTATGCGAGCACAGTTTCAGATTCGTCGATTAAATATTATCACATGATCATTACACATTAATACTCGGAACCAATAGTTTGCTTTAAATTTGACCTTTACGAATTATACATCAGCATTTTATGAATAGTACGATACCATTTACGTCAAGTATCATACGCAACATTATGTCATTTTTTAATCAAACGCTATTTAAACTTATTAATCTGTAAAACTCATACAAAGATATCAAGTGCAATCGAGTGCAAAATTTATCTGAAATCTGCTTTAGTTGCATTTTCTTATATTTTTCATTTAAAACACCCATTTTTCATTTAAAGAGTACCTAGATAACATAGATATTTTTAAAAAACGTCTAAAGAAATTTAAAGACGTCTTATCATTCTTGACATGTGTCTTTAAGATATCTTTTGATTTTTTCGTGCAGTCTGAGTATGTATATTTAGATTTGAGAAAGAGAGAAGAAATTGCATTTAAAATGAACAACAGTCCTTAATAATTCATCAAACAGAAATTAATTTAAAAATATTATGAAGACGTTTATCTTTTAAGATCTCTCATCTGTACATACAAAGAGTGAAAATATTTCTTTTACACCTCGTGCTGCGAATATAATGTATGATCTACCAGTCAGTTCTGTGCGTCCCATAGCTGTCATAAATTTTTATTAATGAAACAGCTTTCCGGGATGAGATCAAATATGCAAAATAAATATTTCGTGAAAAAATGCACGTAGCTGGAATACATTTTAATAAATTTTAATTTTGCTTAAATATTTAATTGTATTTCTAGCATGTATTTCATTATATATATTACTTTATAAATATTTAATAATCTTTTTTAGAATTCTCGTATAATGTTCGTGTAATGCTAAGAATCTACAAGAATTACAATTTATGTTTTTGAAGACTCAATTAACATTATTAGAAATTTATGGATTTTCCATTACAAGCATTTTGATTACAAAAATTAATATTTTCTTGTAATAGTAAAATATACTACTTAAGTGTATGAAAAATAAACGCATAAATATAAGCAAGCATCTAACATTGATGCATTGCCTGGATCACGACCTGCGATATCTATATCGCTATTATCCTTAATTAAAAGAAAAAGTGTAACTGCTTCAAAAGATATTTCTCGATTTATGTCCGGTATGTCTATCGAAAAGCGGGTTGCTGACGCGACGCGATTATTTCTCTGCTTAATTAAGAAAAGTGCTATCAAGAACGCGTAAAAAGAAAACAACGAGAGATGTATATATCTTATTGTTAGTATAGCGAGAGGGAAGATAAGCAAGAGACAATAAAAAGGCATAAAATCACGATTAATGCTAATGATTAAAAAATATGGAAAGTAAATAAAAATATTGAAGTAAAAAATATCAAAAATAACAATCTTGTGAAATAAATTGTTTATTACATAAAATTACTGTTTATTTTTATATTGAGCTTACTGAATCCAATATCTGGAGGTCTATTTCATTCCAGATTCGAAATTTCCAGTTGCACAAAGATATAAAATAACATAAGTTACATAAGTTAAAGCTAATGTTATACTATTAGTCATACATTGTCATTGTTATGACAAATGACTATTACATTTTTTCTTATTTCAATAATCATAAATATTTAAAAAAATGTTTTCCGCAGAAAAATTATATCATTTGTTAATTTAATAGTGAATCTAACAGCACTTCTTATATAATCGATTGTTATGTACATTCAAATATTTTTCTTGAATAAGTATATCAGTGTAACAAAAGGTGAAAATCGATTCTTAAGTTTCTGAAACCATTGACACTTATGGGAAAATTAAAAAACTTTGTTTTAGAGAGATCGTAATCATTCTATGCGTTAATCCAAAGTCCATCTGAACATCCCCGCCACACAATTCGTGATGAAGACGCGGTATCGTAAAATCCCACATCGCTACTTACTGTATATAAATACTTGAGAGGACCGTTCGAAGTTCAGTCAAAACATACGTATTAATACGATATCGTTCTTCTCGCTTCAACTTTACTTTAAACTAAGCTCTTCGAAAGTTGACAGCTTTTAAAATATTTATAAAGATTTCGTTTACAAAGAAGAAAATGGGTAAATCCTTTTATGAAACGCGTATCTGTCATATTTCGAAGTTATTTTGCGATTTGATAAAGTGTACCTCGTGAAAAAATGTGTAATATAAAAAATAGATTTTTGAATTTTCTAAGATTTTCTAAATATTTGAGATATATTGTAAAATTGCACAAAAAATGTGATATTTATTTTTAAAAAATGCAATATGATTGGCAAGTTATTCTTTTGGAAAGTTAAAACTAATAATTTTCAGCGCGCCCGCAAAGAAAATTGCGAATATTAAAACATTTTAATAAATAAAAGAATCAGATATTTGCTTTTTTTAAAATTATAGAAAAATTAAAAGTTGCTAAAGACACAGGGAATTTGGGAATTTTATTAAATATTATGTTATATATAATATTTCTTTAATGAGATATATAAATGAATAAAAATGTAAAAAAAAATTTTGCATTTATTAAATATTTCAAATGTTAAAGAAATAAAACATATAAATTTGATTAATCTTTGCGTAAGAATTCGGCAAAACTGTTGTTTTTTTTCTAAACTTGGCCATTATATTAAATCAATGATTATTTAATAAACATTAAATAATAAATAAACTATTGTGTGTTAAAAAGTATGATTTTGTTTTTTTGTATCTTCTTTTTTTGTAGTGTGTTCTCCACATTTAATATCATATAAATAATAATACGTACAAATATATAATTTTAATTAACACAAATTAATATAAACATAATGATTTTTGTTATATATTAAAATAAATTTTATTCTGCATTTATTGAAATTTTATATTATAGATTCAACTCCAACATTGTGTCGTCGACGTTCGTCAGCATCCGAAAGGGCAAAGGAAATAGAAGCAATCAATTCTATCATTTCTGGAAAAAACGTTCTAATAACTGGTGGTGCAGCAGGATTGGGTCATGCTTTTCTTAATCATTTTTTAAAGCACGGAACAAATGTAAGCTAATAATATATAAAATATCATGTGTATATAAATAAGGCTCTCGAATTATATAAATATATATATATATCTATTTATACTATAAATTAGAACAATTAATACCATTTTGTACAGATTAAAAAATGATCTTCTATCATATCTAAATATAAGATATATCCCTTTTCTTTTATTTGTTAAATTTACAAAATGATATTGGAAGTCTCCTCTTTTTTTCTTTTATACATATTATCAATATTATCATTATTATATTTTATTACTCATATTTGTTGCAGAAAGTGATTATATTGGACATCGACATTGAAACCGGCAAACGAATCGAACTTGGTATCGAAAAATCTTGCGGCGAAAAAAAAGTACACTTTATACACGCCGACGTATCTAATCACAAGCGAATGACTGGTAAATATAAGGCAAAATCGCGTATAAATATTTATTCAACATTATAATCGCCAAACCTCCCATCGAGGTATTATTATCTTATTTTGGGTCTGTTATATCAATTTGTAGAAGCTTTCGAAGAAGCATCATCTTTAGTGGGAAATATCGATATCGTTATAAACAATGCCGGAGTTTTGGATGAACGAAGATGGGAAAAGGAAATTGCGGTGAATATTGTGAGTATTATTAATAACTATCTACTGACTCATTAATTTATTCATATCATTAATGATAATTTTTTTAATTTTATGATTTCCTTACCCTGTTACACGTTATTTTCCTAAGATCTTGAATATCTTATATTTTTACATTTCAATATCAGCTCTTCAAGAATTGTGCTAAACTGATTTTATTAGCACATTACTTACAAACAAATATAAAAAAACTAGAAAGTAAACTTTATTTAATAAGAATAATAATAAAAATCGAAATTTAAAAAACCTTAATATATGTCACTGTAGGGTGGCATGATTAACACTGCGATGTTAGCTATAAAATACATGAGTAAAGATGCGGGAGGGCAAGGTGGTATCTTGGTGAATGTGAGCCAACACATGAATATTCGAAATACGGCTCAACTTCCGGTTTATACTGCCACAAAACACGCCGTTATTGGTTTATCGGAATCTCTCTCGGTAATTATATTATATAAAAAATTAAGCACAATTATAAGTGTTTCGATTATGTAAGCAAGCACTATGTAGGTGGCTATATTTGTATAAAATTCCTGACGAATGTATTACTATATGTTAAAGCATTCTTTTAAATTATAAGAGATATCTCTCGTTTTCAATTTTCACTATTCACGATTTTTCCTTCTTGACAGGATCCTTGTTATTACGAGAAGACCGGTGTTACTGTAATAACTTTGTGTCCAGGACTGACGGAAACTGCTCTGACGATAGATAGTCCTAACAAACTACTTTCCAGAGTCATGAAGGCGGATTTCGTCAAAAATCTTGAACAATTTTCGATACAGACGTAAGTTGTCATTGCTATTGTCTTTACAATGGACATGATAGATTAATCAGCTAGATAAAGGCGCCGGTAAATTTATATTCGCTGCGCAATTATTTTAATCGCAAATAAATTATTTACAAATATTTTTCTTTGAGCTCCCGCGAGTTTCGAGATGAATTTCTTCGTGAAAATGTTTTCATTAACGTGAAAATGTAGCTCGCCCTTAGCTAAATCCAACCCTGTGATAGGACATTGCATCTTTCTCCTTCGGTGGTTACGTGTAATCACTTGAAAGAAAAATCTTTCATGTGTTGCTATTTATTCGTATTCCTTTTTCAGACCTTATGTAGTCGCGCAGGGTCTGATGACAATATTAAGGATCGGCGAATCCGGCAGTATTTGGGTCATCGAGAACGGCAGTGCGCCTTACGAGGTTTACGTGCCGAATCCGCAAGCACTACGTCGTCACTACAAGAATAATTTCTCACACGTCGAGATTAAGGTCGTGAAAGGTCGACCGATAAGGGAGGTATGCGACAACAGCAGAACAGGCCTGATGAGCTGCGCCTGATCGTATGCTGATTAAACAAGGGTTCGACCGTGATTTCTCTCGTTTTACTCAACACCGAAAATCTTTTCGCACAACGTTCACATGACGGACGCGTTGTCAATCGAAGAGACTTCGTATGAAGATATTTCACGCATAAATGTAATCAGAAGCGTGAAAAGAATGAAATGTAGTTTTAAAGCGAAAAATCGTGATATTTCGTAATTTTCTTTCGCAATTATATGTATCTTCCGTTATTAAAAAGTTTTACGCGTATTTTCTACCATCTGACTGTACTGGTGTGTTTGATCCATATGTCTATCATAATTTGACACACATTACGTATCTGAATTTATTTTTTTTAAATCGAAACGTCAAATGTATATGTATATACGGATATTTTTTTAATAAAAAGTTATAATAAATGATTTGAAAAATGATATTAAATGATTCTATATCGATTCGATATATAGAAATAATAACTTAAAATCTCATGCAAATTTCATAGATTTATACGAGCACTTTTACATTTAATTTTTTATATGTTGTGAACTCCAAAATTTGTTATAAATATAGAATAATATAATGGGAATTTCGACTGAAGTTTAATAATGTCAGTGTGCACATTAGCAGACAATATCGTAATATTGCGACAATTACTTTCATTTAAATGCGCCATTTAAAAACAAAAACACAAGTCCATATATGCAAAACTAGAAAAACATAATGGCTCCTGTATGTTCGAGTCGCAACTGATGCGACCTATTAATCTATGGAAGGACGAGAAATAAATTACTTTATCGCTTATCAAGCATTTAAAAAAAAACACTGGATGTAGCGTGTGGAAGACGCAATTTTTTACGCACATTCTAATCATATCGTATAATACGCAGCACATTTCAGTAGCATCAAGCACATGATAGCCTTGTATTTAACATACGTTAGGAGCCTATGTATTAAAGACGTTATATAATTCTATTTACACAAGTACATTTCTTTTTTTTTTCGGAAACCGCACAACACTTATCTTTTACTTATCTCAAATCGCTCATTTAAATTTACGTAATCTGGCATTTAAATTCATAAAATTCTCACGTTTGCATTTATCAGAAGGAAGCACAAGAGAAGGATTTGTATGAATATTTTACAAGAATATTTTGATATTACAACCTCATGTGGAAACAAGAAAGTGTTTTATTTCACACTTTCGAGTACTATGGAAAGCAGTGCGTAGGAAATTGGAAATGACACGACGTGTTATTTCATCATTTCAATATTATTTAGCATCGGGAATCACAATGTAGCCGCTGTACAAAACAAAAATTCATTCTCGCGTATATTACGTTTTATTCTTTTCACATGTACGAGGCATGAAACTTAAAAGTTAAATTTTTTCATCACTGTATTTCTTTCTATTTGCATATTTTATTTTATATTTCCTATGATTTTTTTATTTTACTCTGCGTTTCCTCTGATAGCTTATTGAGATTTGCTTATCAATTATATAAATTTCAAGTTGTGTATGTGTGTATGTGTAAATGTTTATGTATGTATTTATATAATATCTGTATGAGTTGGACTCTGTACGAGCCATAGAAAAATAATAGTCGCAAATAATATTCTTATTCTGTTTTCTTCCACGTCTTATATCTTTAAGGACATTATCATGCTTTTAGTCTTACTCGTATCGCCATTTAACATAATTCTACGCGCAGAGTATCGTCGTGTATCAAAAAGGATTCTTCGAAAGCGTAAATTATAATGACACGATTATTACAATCAAATTATGACAAAAATTATCTTTATGTATTTAATACTTTGGACATCTTTGTCATAATTTACTTGTATACTTGACACATACAAACTCAGTTTGTTGTATATGTATACAGAAAATTGTTCTCGTTTCAAGACTAGAACGATTGAATAAATTTATAAAAAAAATTAATTAAAAAATTACGATTTTACTCGAAATTACATGTATGATCGTTATTTTATAAATAATTATTTAAATACCTTCTCTTCCACATATATGTATATTGAATATAAGGGCTCCAATCTTTCTTCCTAAATATATGTATTATTAGAGTATTAGAGACAAAGAGATATACATATATAATTGGCAAAATATTAATTTAAGATATAATTATAAATAATAAATGTGCATCTTTGTGAAAAACATCGATTTTAATAGGCACATTACAAATTATAAATTTAATATAATTTATCATTGATTATATGTCGATTTAGAGTTTCATTTGTTGAAGGTACTTAATAAATTCGAGAGCAATCGAGGAATCCTTAGTTTAGAACACGATGACAATAATATAACATGATTTAGAACTTAGCTACTTACAATACGATGCTTACAGCTTTCATAATTCTAGATGCAGATCTTACAAAGAAAGAGTAAACAGACCGCAAAGCTTCCAATTTAATAATACAAAAATTCTGTATAAACTGTTTTTCCTTCATTTTCCCATTTATTATATATTTATTATCTTAATAAAATTATATGTTTACATGAACTTCATGCTAAGCACTCGAAGAATTTTGTCTGCGTATGCTCAAAAAAAAAGAAACAAAACAAAATAAAAGGATATCTCTTTTCGCCAAATTTGCCTTGTACTATATATTTCACAGTATATTTCTATTCTTGACAAATGCAATTAGATACAATCGATTTTTACATACTTTGACGAGAAAGTACTTTTATGCACGTCTATTGCCATCAACTTCCGATATACGGATACAAACCAGCTATTCCATAACGACCAGTATCATCAAGTCACCATCATTATAAAGCCATTCCATAATTATTTATAGTCAAGTCTTGAGAAAACCGGACTGAAAAATGATCACGATCGAATTGAATTTTTCCTAACTACAAACTAATTTATTTAAAGTGTGGTTTCAGATTATTCCTCATTAAGAATTTTATTAATATAAACATATTTCTAATTAAATAAAACTTATGACTATTTTTCCCTAATTTTCTTCTCCAAATTCTCTTATATCTGAGCCCACAAATAAGTATCAATATAAAAAAGAAGGTTAAGGAACAATATTCTAATTATAATTGACTTTACTTCCTTAACGAAAATATATCTTTTTCTTAATATCAACTCATCGTGATCATTGTCGACTAAACGGTAAGAAAATTTGTCTTTAAAAGTACCTTCTTCGATCATCTAGTCGCAAAATATCGATGCAAAGAGTCATATGCGCCAAAAACGTCCATATGTGCGATTCTTGTCATCTAACTCCACACGTAACCACCGGTTCGGCGCTTGTAAGAAAAAAAGCGCACTTCCTTATACAATATAATCTACATTTACGCCGGCGGTGTGTATCTTTTATTATTCGATTGCCAAATTTTAACCCAAATCAGTCCATAACGGTAGACCACATATCGTAAAAATCTTAATCTATAGTTCAATACTTATATAGCAGCGCATCGCTCATATTTCGCGGCATATTACTCTTTTACGCCGTACCGGTGACAAATTACATTCTTGCTTTATATTTAAATAACGTTCGTCTGCGACTGAGAGGCAGACTGTTCGTTGGTCGCGCGATTTTGACTCACCGTATTACTCTGTTGATTAGGAGGCTTCCGATTACCGCCCCTGCTACCTCGATAACCACCCCGGAAACCAGGGTTACCGCCACCACCACTGCCTCTGTACATATTTCCCATTCCGCGAGTAAAATAACCACGGCCGCGGAATCCTCCGCGTCTCGTGGAAGCCACGCCAAACGTTTCCGAATTCAGTTTTCGTTCCGTTCGCCAATCCGTACGTTGGAATCGCCTAAAAAAGTTTATGTAAAATATCTCAAAAATTACAGATGAAAAAATAATCAAAGATTCAATGTGCAACGTTTCGTTCTTTAAAAGAATTAATTTTGAAGTTGGGAAAATTAAAATAAACTTAGGAGAACGTAAATTTAAATAATTTTAACAAATTTTTGAAGATCTACTTTTACAAATTTTTAAACAAGTATGCGCATATTAGTATGCTACTGATTTTTTTTCAATTATACACACATTATTATATATAATTATATCCACTTATTCTTAATAATACATACCCTTTACTCCTTTCGACAGCTTCACAGCTAATATTATCAAAGAATGATTTCGATTTATCATAATGAACAATCTCTGGTTCTTCCTCAGGTTCGCCTTCACCCGCACCTGTTTCATTCCCACTGTCATCCTTTTTCTCATTATCAGCACCATCTATCTTCGTTTTTGCCAATTGTGATCTGAAATATATATAAAACAATATATATTTTATATATATCTTTAAAAATATATCTTGAATATATTTTATATATCTTTAAAAATAACTTTATAATATTGTTAATGCGAAGCGTAAACAATCTATATATGACGTACGATTGCTTTAAATTCGCATTGATTTACTTTTGCATGGTGTCCACATTGGTCATTTCAATTATTACTTGAAATGAATCCGGCACGTAACCATGCAGAATCAATATTCAATAAGCATTTTTTTATTCTTACCTCAACTCTTCGAATTCAGTGTTGGCTTGCTCGAAATCATAGTCATTGTCAAATTTGAGTGTATTCTTAGGCTTGGCACCAGCGTTGCCTGCTTGAATCGTACGGAAATTACCGCGTCCTCTACCTCCTCCTCTACCTCTCATGTTGCCACGATTCACCCAACCACCTTGGGGATGGCCGCGATTACCTCGACCACTTTGCATATGACCTTGGTGATGACCATCTTGCTTCATCATGTCCCTCTTTGCATCGTTATAGTGAGACATGCCCATATTACCTTTATTCCCTCCATGACTACACATACAAAAAAATATTCTATTAAAATTCTGTAAAGTTTTACGATTTGTTTATTAAATAATATTAATAATATAATAAATGTGTATATATAAAATGGCTTTCTAAATTTAATATTAGAAAATCCAGTATTAAATGTAAGATAACTGAAGGTAAGGTATAAAAAAATGTGATAAATATGATCATATTTCTAATATTAATTTTAAATAAATAAAACTGTTACTAAAAGTAACATATTATGGGTTCATTATATAAGCAAAAGAATTGATTCTTAGATAAGAATTGCAGATACCTATCGTGATCTCGACGAGGCGGTTGGACGGTCCTGATGTTTGACTTGTCATTCAATTTTCCCATGTTATTACTTTGCTGCTGTGATTGTTGTTCATGTCCTACCTGAATACCTTGATCCATAGTTGGACTTTTCCTTGTCAATAAGGAT